GATAAGAAGGGGTCAGAAAGAAGGTCACGAAACGTGAAGCTAGGGGAAGAATCCATTCACTTGGACAAAGCATGCAATAGGGGTGATGGGAGGAACATGTGGCGCGGTCCGTCAGACCGCACGTCCCCTGTTACGGGTTAATAGTCCTTCTGGGCAAATTGCCCTTTTGAACTAAAAAAAGATCGAGTCAAAAGTATTTCATCCATAAAATGCGATATATTAATATTAAATTCTTCGTAAATAATTTTCGAAAGTAATTTGTGTAAGCTTTAAATAATGCTTATTACTTAAATATTTTGCTCTAAGCAATCTTAAAGAAAGGAAGATTGATTTTTTTATTGATAAATAAAATGAAATAAATAATACCAAACTCTGTAGCATATTAACTAATTTAATTCTTTTTATCTGAATATCATGTATAAAAAAGCACAGATCTTAAAGTGTAATATGTAAATATAAATGCAGTTTGCCACGGTATCAGGTGTTCAAATATGATACCAATATAAGGAAATGGGAAAAAAAAAAAAAAAAAAAAAGAAAAAGCAGTAGTTTATAAATTTTAAAAACAGCTCATTGTTCTAATAAAAATATTGCTCTTTTAAATAGAAGTCATTATTTGCGCTCTGTAAAATATTTCCCGTCGTCCAGTTTACTCAAAAGTGCATGGCTGTTCTCAAGTCTTTTGAACCCTGAACTGGAAATTCCACATTAATACTTTCATTGGTTACAACGTCAAAGCACCTGCGACCTTGAGCAGTACCTCCCTGCCTTGAGAGAAAGTGATGGGGGCATTGATTAACAAAGGCATCTGCCCCTTTCACAATGTTGACACCAACCGCTCCTTTGGAGTATTTGAAGTTCAGAAATCGAACAACTACTTTAAATTTCTGCGAAATCATACTCGGTGTCTGTAGTTTGTTTCTTTATTAGAATGCATGTTACTGATTTATGAATTTTATTCTTAAAGCCAAGTACTTGATGAACGAATGAAAATTCCTTCATTTTAATGTTACTTTCATTATTACAGGCAGAAGACTATTGTGCCTAAAATATTTAAAATGTAGTCACCTAATTTCGAGCATTATGATTCATGAAAACTGTAAGTGGCATATTATGAAATTTTTTCTTAATGAAATTCTCTAATTCTCCCCCAAATCATTTTTTAAAGTTTGTTATAATTTAAGTTATCATTAAGACAAAGTTAATTAAAGAATTCGGCTACGATAGGTAGCAATAGTCATTGAATTAGTCCGATTCCTAACGCTACCCAAACAAAAGAAGTGAATAACAATGTTGTTCAATTAAAAAAAAAAAAAAAAGAAAGAAAGAAAAGGAACTGTTTTCTGTGACTCCTCTCTTAAATATGCCATATATAGTTACAAAAATGTGAAACATATTATTTTTTGTCATGATGTATTACAGTGATAAATGTGCAGCATGTTATTACAGTTTATAAATATTACAAATAATTACACGTTCTAATAAAATTATTTGAATACGAATTTATAAATATATGAGTCTTAAAATTCAAGTTTATAGATTTTAAGCATACATAATGTTCTATAAAGTCATCATTCATTAATAGTATAATGTATAATTAAAAAAATATTAATATTCAAAACATCAATTTTTTAATAACTTTACTTGCATTAGTTGTATATTGTTGAATGCTCACGTATGTATATTAGTTAAATACAAGGAAAAGTGTACAGACGTCATTCAACCTTATACAACACCTGATTGTGAAAAAAAAAATTATAATTATATTGCTCTTAGTATAAATCTTTCTTTTAGTGTAAAGATCCTTTTTTAATTAAAATTAGATTAAATTAATTTCATTATCTGTTAGAAAATAATGGCAGGGAAGATCAACTTCTTAAAAGACTACCACATCAGCAGAACTCGAAATCCTCTAAGACCGTGGATAGTGGCGTTTAAAGAGAGCTCATTATACTTTTGGTAAAGCATGAATATTAATCGTAACATAGTGTTGCACTTTTATTTCCTTTCAAAGCAGCGGAACCGTAGTCCTATTGTTTTAGAAATATGTGAAATTAAAAAAATGGACACTGTATAATAAAAACGTAATTAGATTCAGATACACACTTTTTGGACACGCCTGAAATTCATTATTTTCCTCAGAATAATTTGTCTAAAGGAAATATTTAATAAATATTAATAATCGGAAGGTAAGTCAGGACGAAATAGTAAGTGTAGTCTCGTCTAAACAGTTTTAATTAATGATCACAAGTGTTCGCTTTATCATAAAATGTCTTTTCGCACAACGGATGAAACGATGAAGAGAGAATCCGTGCGTGACAGCACTGGAAGAAATGGCGCTAAGGCTAATTGGTTTATAATCTTAAGAGCTTAATGCTAATCATAAATACTACTCATTTTTACTTCCTTGTACGAAGTAAAAAGGAAGTATTGTAACCGCGAAAAGTTTCAGGCAGCATATTTCAATTGAAATATCCATTTTGAAAGCTATCGAATGCAATTTAACGATGCTTTTGCGTGACATCTGTACGTAAGGACAGAATAAAAGACTCTTTTCCTTTAAAAAAAAAAAAAAAAAAAAAAAAATCATAAAACCGCTTTAAAATGAATTCTGAAGAGAATTTTTCGTGGTGTCTGTACGTAAGTACGTATCTCGCATAACTCAAAAACGCGTAGACTCAGAACGTTGAAATTTTGTATATAGGACTGCTATATTATGTAGATGTGCTCGTATTTTGGTTGCAATCGTCCGCACCAAACGCATATATATATATATATATCCACTCTGTTACCCGGCTCAGTGATCTCAGTTTTTTTTACTCATATATGTTTGTAATATGTGCATTTTTTTCTTTAAAAATGATTGAATTATGTTGTTCTTATCTTCCGCTTAAGGTTTTCATGCCTTAAGGAAATCTGCAAGCAGTATTTGCTAAATTATCAACAATTTAAAAGCTGCTCAAGTGCGGTTAAGCCAAATTTTTAAATAACATGGCGGACACGTTTGTTTACATTTGAAACAGCAGAATAGTAGATTTGTTGCCGATCTATAGAGACTGAGCTTTGCAACAACAAAGACAAATTTACTTCGTAATTTTTAATATAGATATTGAGTTTTTATGTATTTTTGCCTTGTCGCGAAGTGAGAACTGAATTAATTGAATGAGAAATACTGAATCGTCTGTGAAAAACTATTTCTTTTTTGTTTTGTTTGCTTAATTTCTTTTATACATCGTTCTAGATTTATTATAGCATTTGAATAGAACATGTGGCAACGATTAGATAATTCTTCAAATGATATAAATTTTGTGCATTCTGAGTTATAATGTGAACAAAATATAACGCTGTTAAGTGAACCTAGCGCCAGAGTGTCGCTATGGTACACAAATATAGTAATTTTAAAGAGTGCATTTATTCTATTGCATCTTATGCGCTATCGACGAAGTAAATTTAATTCAATCCAATAAGTTTAAATGAAATGCAAGAAAAAATGCGTATCATTTAATGTTCCCTACAAGGAAGTCATGTGATGTGCACATCAGATATTTTATTACTCAATTCATCTATACAATGGACAATGATAACTATATTTGTTAATGTATACATCCCTGCTCATGCTTTGATTTGAAAATATTGCACGATCATAGTATATCGCAGGGTCATAAAATGTTTCGGATTTACAAATCAATGACTTAACAATCACAAAATTTTTGAAAGTATATTTAGAATTCCCGATAAAGTGTTGTCATACATTTCTGTTTATATTAGCTATACTATTATACCTGCTACATTATTTCTTTAAAAATAATACGTAAAGATAACACTTAGGAGTAGTGTCTCTTTATTTGAAGTGTGGTTCAATTCAAAAGTGAAACGAATATATTGAGGTTTGAGACTACATTTAGCTGCTTCATAACGAGAACTTGTCTTCATAATGAGCTTATTGTCGTCGTATTTAGAATAATTCTAATACATTAAATGTTTATATAAATGTATAAGGTATTTCTCCCGCTTTCCAAGCGAGTCTTCGTGGTATAGTGGTCAGCACGCTGAGCTGGTATTTCGCGGTGCGTGGTTCGATTCCCGGCAAAGTCGGTTGCTAAATTTTCAAGCTCTCTTGCTTCCAAAATATGCCTAATGACTCTACAAATGTAATATATTGTTCTCAATTACACGCCTATTTTAGTTACCAAATTTGAAAAGTTTTGGATTATCTTCTAATATATTTCTTTTCGAAAGTCTGTTCAGAGTTTCAAGTAAAGTATCACATCCGGTCTATTAATTTTAGCCCAAAACTAATATGTTGTTCTCATTGATATTATTAAAGTCTTAAATACTAAAATTGAAAAGTTTTTAATTGTAGTTTAATACCGTTTTTTATTTAAAACTATTATAGGAAACAAGTAAAAAGTTATTTCCTGTTATTCATTACACTGCTACGAACATCCCGTAAAGTATCACTCCGACTCTCCGATTTTCCTAAAATCTAATCTGTTCTTTATATGAATATAGAGAATTTGGAAGGCTGATACAACAGTATCATGGAACGTCACACTCAAACATCATAGCAAGATTCATTGAGAACTAACTCACTATCGAATTTTGGGACCGAAAACATTTCCTCCGTTATCTATAAATTGGAGGGAGGTTAAAAATAATGCTTTTGATTAATTAAACTTTATCTTAATTTAATAATAAGATTTTCATATTTGCAAAAAATACTGTAGTAAAAAGATGCATTCTCTTTCATTTTACATGTTAGATTAAAATAAAGGGCTAAATAAATAAAATGTAGTAAACTGAGATCAGAATATTAATTGAACAAAAATGCTGTATCTGAAATATTTGATGACTGCTATATTTAGCTTATCATTGAATAAAATAAAAAAAAATTAAACTGCATCTCTTAATATTGGTAATAAATAAAAAGCCAGTGCTTAAAGGAAGATTTTTTTGTTTATTCTAAATCTGACACTTAAGACTGCTTTCTTTCCTTGCAGAAGCGAAAAACTACCATCCCGATGACATCAAAAGAGTTAAAGAAAATGACTGGTATATTGGACGATATCTACTACATACGGAGCAAGATGTTGAGTTGGCTTACAAAATGCTTAAAGAATCGCTGAAATTCAGAAATGATATGGAAGTCAACAGTAAGTATCTAGTAGTACAATTGTATAACAGTTTTGTGTTCTGTTGAACATTTTTATCTGTTGAGGCGTTCTTTTAAATAATTTTTTATGATGAATGTAAACTATTTATGCAATAAAATGCCTTCGAAGAATTTTAGCCGCAGCTAAGTCAGTGCAAGAGTGTTAAGTATAGCAACGTATATGATTTTATATTGTCTGCTTTCTGGCAGTTTTAATTAACTAATTCAGCCCATGTAATTAACTTGTATTTCGCTTTATCTTCCAATCTCATCACGTTTTATGAATTGAAAAATAAGCTTTTAAATTAATGAAGAAATAAAATGTAATCAGTTCATTTTATTGATTCTTTGTTTGTATGAGTTACATCATTTAGCTTTTTCATGTATTAGTAAGTAATAGCACAGAACGCGTTATGTGCGCTTTCTCTAGAACGCATCTGCAAGAATGAAATGTTTCCGATTTGCGTTTTGACGACTTCCGAATTTTTATACTATTTTGAATATCATCTTGCCAAATGAAAAATGTATTTAAATGCGTTATAAAAATGTGCGTAAAATTGTATGTAGTCCATTTCTCTTGAAGATAAACCAAAAGCAAACAAAGGAATAAACGCATTATCATGCAGGCATGCCACTTTTATTGCCTTTTCCCTAAAGTATGAACTTAAAATGACTTAAACGACCTAAAATGAAGTAATTAAAAGGAATGTGTGTAAAATGTCAAAATTCTGATTTTAAAGAAGCATAATTAGCTGAAATTCGAATGATTCTTCGGTTTTCATTTAGTTAAAGTCAAAAACACAATGGTAAATGCGTTCTTTAAAGATTGTGCTTAAATTGTCTTATATCAGAAGTATACACGCATTTCTTTTATTGACCGTAAAAAAACACAAATAAAAAAGGTACATATAAATATACATAAAAAAGTATTAAAAAGATATGTATAAAAGGCGTTGACTTAAAAAATTTTGCAATTATAAGTATTAATGCAATGAAGTTACTTGATTTTAACAATTTGCAAAATGTTGAGTGATTACCGTTATTTCAGCTTTAAACAAACTCATTTCATACGCTTTGTTATGAAAAAATGCATTTGTAAAGATTTTATGTGATGAAGTTAGGGTAATTATATAAAATATAATCATATTTTGCTATGATGCTGAATCACCAGTAACTTCTGATCACTCTTTTACGAGGAAGATTTCAGAAATATTCCATGTATCATAGCTCTTAGAAATCGGCATACAATGCAGCGTGCACAGTATTGACTTCTTATCCAAGTTTTCGAAATTTCATTTGTATAAAACCAAATTTACGAATTTTTTCCCCACATTTTATAAAAGATTTTTTTTTTTTATTCTGCACGTGAAATGAATAAAAATATGCGAAACCTGTAAAAAAATATACAATATATAGCATTCATTTACACTGAGAGAATCATTTTTCGGATAGGTAATTATTTATTAATGAAATAACTTCGTATATGTTAATATTTATTACTGATTAAATCACTTCATGTATATTATTGTTACTATATATTAGATATTATATAATTATTTGACAGGAATATAGATACAACTGTGTTACTGACAAATATGTTAGATTTGATCGTAAAAAATACATATAAAAATGGTACAAATAAGTATACAAAAAAGTATTAACAAGATATATATAAAAGGCGTTGGCAGTATAAAAAAAATTGCAATTATAAGCATTAATCTAATGAAGATATTATATAATTATTTGCTAGGAATTTAGATACAACTGTGTTATTGACAAATATGTTAGATATGATTCAAGAGAGTAAATTTACTGGACCCCCTTTCAATGCTGTTTGAATTGTTTTTTGACAATGCTGTTTAGTAAATTGCTTCGTGAAAGATTAAAATTAATTCCTTTCTTTCATTTTAGCCATTTCTGTAAATGCAGGCTTCCCGTTCCTTCGTGTAACGGATTTCCGTGGTTTTTATTATATAATATTTATTTAATGCTTTCCAATTTCATCATGAATAACTGGTATTGAATAATAACATAATGTTTAAACTTCTTTATCATAATATAATTTGAAAAATAAATAATATTTAATTCAATAAAATGAAATTTACTATATTCAGTTCATTTCACTAACATCAAATCATATTAAAGTTTTATGAATTAAAAAACACAGAAAAATGCTAAAGAAATATCTTCACGTCATAATTTATTACTGTTAGGTATTTAGACACAGCTGTGTTGCAGACTAATTTTTCAGATTTGATTCAATTTTTGACTTCTGATTTGATCAAAGCTGATAGTTTATTGTATCCGATTTACAATATTTTTGCTTATTTTTTGACAGTGTTCTTTTGAAAATTGCATTGTGAAAGTGCAAAATAAAATCATTTCTTTAATTTTATCCGTTACTGTAACTGCAGGCACTTTTCCCTTCACATAATGAGTTTTTTTGATTTTTTAATATATATAGCATTTAATACTTTTGAATTTCACCATGAGTAAGGCATTAAATAATGATATAGAATTTAAATTTATGATAATGCGAGTAAAAATACTTATTTACTTTACAGTTTAATCAATGAAGTGTATTCGTTCCTGTTTACTTTACTTATATCAGATTATATTATAAATATTATAATACCTGCTGTGGCTTTTAACTAACTTAGCGATGTCATTTACCGTAAAAAGTAAGGTGTTACGTTTGTTTTATGCTATTAATTTTCACCAACAGAACAGCTAACTATCAAATAAATAGATAAAGAATTAAAGCACTTCAAGTTTATTCCACCTCTACACTTGTGAGTGAATAAATTAAAATATACAAACATGAAATTAATTAGCCAACCTGGACCTGGTTTCCAGGTAAAGCTTCCTTTCAAAATGAATATAAATTAAACAAACTAAATTCTATTAGAGACTATAAGATTTCGTAAACCACGAGAGAATTTCAAATTTACCAAACAGGAGCCTCACTTTAAAATATCCCCAGCAACTTTAGCATTAGCGACGAAAATTCTTGATTTTCTTTGATCGGCAGTGCAGCGGAGCGCAGGTCAAATTCTCACACTCTTATTCGTGAATATCTGAGAAATTTATAATAGAACTGCTTGCCACTCAGATCGACATAAATTTTGGAACAAACGGAGCCTCGTGACGAAAAGAGGTAGAAAGGAAAGAATTTAATGAAATGACATTCGTTAGTAAAACTTAATGCCATAGCATGAATTTAAAAACATAGAAAAATGCTAAATGAAAGTCTTCATGGCATCATTTAGAAGCTGTTCATTTGATAATTGTTACTAGATAAAATTTCTCAAAATTTAATTTTTATAAACTATAAAGTGTATTTAAGTGCAGCATTATTTGTTTATTTCTTACAGCTGTAAAAAAGAGCGATCTTCCAATAGAATACTTCAACGTAAGAGCAGTCATATTATACAACAAAGATGTCAGGGATCATCCAGTAGGTAAGTAGAACATAGAGCGTTAATTCCCTTGTAAATAGTTTATATAAAATTTTTAGAAAGGAATTTTACTGAGCATTTCGTTCATATTGCAGTTGTAGTTAGATGCAAGACACACTTCAAAAAAGAAGAAACGAGAAAGTTGCAACAGCAGTACATGCTGTATTGGGTAGAGAAAGGCATCCGAGCTTCAAACTGGGGCGTTGTTAGTATACTATTCGATTGTACAGATTCGGGCATTGGGAATATGGTAAGATGGATATTCTGTTACGTTCTAAATACTTTCATCGAGATATAAAATCTATAAGGACTGTTTATGAATTTCGTATTACACTTCCAAAAAAGGATTACATATATCCAATTATATAGTTACACGTGTCTTATTTTACATTTCATGTATTTACGTATCACATCAGTATATATACAGGATGATTCAGAATTCATCATCAATATTTGGTGGGGAGGTAGAGAATTAGGAAAAGAAGGAGATTTCACATAGGAAAGTATGGGCGCAGTCGAGCGCATGGTTGTGTAGAGGGCGCTGTGTGTACACAACATCCATACATAAGCGCAACTGTTTGACGTGTGCAGCCAGTCGTCATTCGACTAGGTGACTTTGCAGAAGTAACATGAACCGGTATATGTGGAATGAACTTGCAGATATGCATGTAAATGCCAGGCATATTCCAGAAGGTCCGGTTGTCCATGCAACGCCGTTGTGAGTCATGCATTCTAGCACATGGTCAGCAGTTCGAGCACCTCTTGTAAGTCTGTTAAACCGATGCAAAGAAATGTTACATGTAAGATAATAAATGTTTTTTTTTTCCTTACTACTTCCTTTTTATGTGTTCTTTCCATCATTGAACTGGGGTTATTTTGCCCTACTACCTGGCATATGCGCCCATGCATTCGTGAAATCTCCTTCTTTTCTCATTCCCTACCTCCCCACCAAATATTGATGATGAATTATGATTCGCCCTGTATATATATATATATATATGAAATATAATGGGTATATATGTAGAATGGAATATATAGGGAAATTCTCAGTATATGTAGTACCGCGTATATGGAAATTGAGCGCTTTTAGCATCTTTAGTGTTGAACCAGTTTTCAACAAAAATGTATTTCTGAATAATTGTTCCTGCGAAAAATAAAAATGATGTTTTAACCATCAAGCCAGCTGCGATTTTCCAATCAGTGCAATAGTCAATCTATGCAATAATCTTCTCGGCCATGACTCAAACGTCATTTTTTTTCATCTTCCGCGAAAAATTATAGCATCATAAATCAATATACAGAGTGTATCGGTACCACGTTTCAGAACTTCTAGAAGGGTAGGGTGCAGCCCAACGACTCGAAATCATATAGAAATGCAGGGTCTGAACTGCTTTTCTGACGTGATACATGGCGTTGCGCGAAAGTTCCGAGAGATCTTTGCAGGGATTCGTCATTTCGCACAAGGACGCGAGGTTAGTAGGATGAATACTTTTACGGACGCGAAGTTAGCTGATACGCATTTGGACCTGTAGATTGTAGTGGGTCAGCCACACAATTCTCGTACGCTCTCGCCACACAATTCTCGTACGCCTATGAGGCGTACACCTAGCCATAATTTCTTCGCAAGGCTGCACTGGATGTTAGCTGAAATAGGTTTATTTCGAAGAGCTGGAATGAATCGGGCACTATCAGCACGGACAACCAGACATCAAAGAGAATGTGCTACATCAGGTACAGGGGACTCCAAATTTGAGTACACGAAATGTAGTGCACGCAGTTAGGGTTTCCTGTTCCAGCATCTGGAGGATTCTCAGAAATGAAATGCATCCCTTTCACGTGCAACGTATCCATGCACTTCAACTGGGCGATTGTACACCTCGTATTGCTTTTGCACAATGATATCATGAAACATGTGCTACAGATTCCCATTTCATTGCTAATGTATTGTTCATCGATAAGACTTCCTTCACAAGGAAAGGAATATTCAACACACATAACGCTGATCACTGGACGAAAGAGATGCAACATGAAATTCCCTCATGCAACACGAAGTCGTGCAGCGCGGGTTCGGTTTTCGGCTAATGTTTGGGCCGGCGTTTTGGGGGATCCCCTCATCGATCCGTACCTGCTGCCTTTCCGTCTAACCGATTGCAGCTACTTGATCTTTCTGCAACAAGTCATGCTACAATTTTTAGATGACAAACAGAGTTCTGTATCGATGCGAGAAACAATATGGTTTCCTTGCCCGTTTCAATCATAACGTTCGTATCCACTTAGACGTCAGATTTGGTCAACAGTGGATCGGACGTGGTGTTCCAGTGCGTTGGCCTGCTTGATTACGGGACCTATTATGTCTTGATTTCTTATGGGGGGCATATGAAGACACTGGTTTATTACATCTACGTTGACAACGCCGAGGAGCTGGTTGCACGATCGCAGTAGCTCTCGGGAAAATTGTAGATATGCCTGGAATATTCCAGAATATTCGGAATTCCAAGCTCCGTAGATGTGAGACGTGCACTGAACTCGATATACGAAACTTCTACACTATCTTTGACTGATGCTACTTTTGTTCATGTAAATTTGTTATTAAAACTCATATTAACTTACCTAAAGTCGTTTAATTTCTGATGTTTCTGTGTACACCAGTGTGTCAGGATAGCATTTCCGACCTTGCATTGCTTATATGATTCCGAATAATCGAAGTTCCCCCTACCCCTGCTAGAATTTCTGAAACGTGGTACTGGGACACCATGTATATATACATATTAACATTGTTTTATAAAAAATGTGTCTAATTATTAAAAAAACTCGTTTTGAGAAAAATGGGAAAATGAAAAAAAATCTTTCTTATCAACTACATTTATTTTATTTTTTAACTTCCTAGCACCATAATCTCGTTGTAAACTGTAGTGTCATGTTTCATTTTATTTTGTCCTTTAAAGACTGTTGCTTCCTGAGTGATTTCATAATTTTTTTTTTTAATTTGAAGAATGGAATTTGCCATTTATTGCTGTATATATATATTAAACTTTTAAATTTTCGGCACTCCATTTCAACAAAAAATAACTTCTTTATAAAACATATAACTATTTTGCCTCTCCGATTTCCTTTTCGAAGTTTCAGTCCGTCCATGTATATGTTTATGTAAATACTTCTTCGACTTGAGATCTCTAAAAATAATTTTTAGTGCTCATAGACGTAATTCCGAAAAGAAATGTTTACTCGTTAACACTGTTGACATATACAGAACGTAATAAGTACGAAAATTGCTGATAAGTCTCAATTAAAAGCTGTTTAAAAGACGCCTCTTTTGAAACTCTCTCTTTACAAAAGGTGCGTGTCTGTCATACTTTACTAGCATTTGTACTAAAAATCTAAACACGTTATAATTTTGAGACTAGCAATGTTCCCTTTATTTTTTAAAAATCAAAATGAAAAATCAATTTTTGGAAGGTTAATTTGTTCCTACTCCCCTTAGGAAAAATCTGTGCATGCGCCTTCTAGGTTTGCTACTGATTTACTAACTGAATTTGTTATTTTTTTCTAATGACTTCTGAAATTTCGCCTCGAATGCTCAGATAGCAAATGTGAACATTTTCCATGATTATACTGAAAAAATTGAGAAAGCTCACCTAATGAATCAGTATTCCTGATTAATCTATATTCTCCCCCCCCCATTCTTGTCGAACAAGAATGATAGAGTGAATTAGAGTGTTCTAACCAACAGAATATAAGGCAGGGTATCGAAATTCATTCGAATCTCAGAGCTCTGCTTTGGCATTTGAATTAAAATAAGCGTTGCAACCTGCTGGAGAAAATAACGCAATGAGCCAGAAATACTTGATAAACGTGCAGGATGAAATGTGTGATCTGAGAGCAATATAAAATGAAAGTAACTTACCCCCAAAGAATGACAATTCAAATAATACAAATCAATTAATATTTATTATATATCTTGACATCATTAAATTTTGAATCAGTACCAGCAGAAATTAAGTAAATATCGCCAGACAGAGGAATAATAGCTCTACCATTTTGAATCCTAACTTCTCGTACGAGAAATGCGTAATATTCCAATGAAAATAGATCTCATTCCATCAACGTAAAGCAAAGTTTCGTGATTAAAAATGTCAATTTTATTAACGGCGGAAATTGAGTTAGCTAGTTATCCCAATATATTTTTTAAGAAGCACAAGGCGAAGTTTTAAATCATTCGGAAAGAGGAGCACGTGCACATGAAGTCTTTTCGAAGATTTTTAAATTATAGAACATCATTAATTATCAGTAGTTGTTAGGTATATAGATATTTTTAGTTGTATCTTCAGTTCCAATTTCTTTACTAGAAGGAATACCATGGCTTTACATCCAGCTACGGAGATGGCAGTAAAAAAAAGTACGAAAATGAACAAAAATGGCACACGCGTCAGCCGAGGTGAGGACAGCCAGACGCCGTCCTATACCTTCGGAGCCCAACAGCAGAGAAGAACAAACCAGTTGTAGCCGTCAATTTCGCGTTGTCATTCAGCGGTCGCAGTGAACACACTTGACGTTGAATAAATGTGGAGGCTTGCTGCACACAACTTAACTGCATTCATTCCATGGTAATGGTGTTCAGGAATTAAAATTAAAAAATTAAAAACATTACTAAATATAAGAAGGGGAAAACCGCAAAATAATGAGATTTATTTCTTATAGAATTTTAATATGACGAGCTATTGGAAATGCTAATTATTTTGACGTAATAATTAAAAGTTTTCTGCTTAAATAAACCGAATATTTGAATATCTGCTGCAACACATCATTAGCTATATTGCATGAATGCATTCTTCGCTTATCGCCGTTGACTGTATACATTGCTTATCAAAATTAAAAGATATTCATAGAAACAAACGCAACGATTACTTAAATAATTCAAAATAATTTATGCAGTTGCATTATTTAGCATAAATTACCTAATTTATCTGTTGATTAATCTCAAAATATTAAATTTAAATGAAATTTGTGTCGTGCAGCTGTAGAACGACTGATTCGAATTCTTGTGGCAGTCTCAAGATCTAAATCTAATTCTTTGGTAGTGGCTTTACGGTTTCTTCGAGCTTATAATGATCGAAAACGGTCTTCGTTGCTGTTTAATGTTCTCGACCAGGCTGATTTCACCATTTAAAAAATGGACATTTCGGGGGATATTCTGATCTAAGACGACATTGAGTTGTATTCCCCCTTCTCGAGTCTACTAATCAACCGCCATTTCTAACCTTCACTTAAATCATGCCTTTGAGTTATAACTAATGAACG